TTTTTTTTTTAAGTAGAAATATTGAATGAATTCTAGGCCTGCAAGTATGACATGTTCCTTCCTCAGACATGATAATAAACTGAGTATTTTTGACTTTTTACATGAAAACAGAAATGATGTAAATAAGAGAAACTGTCAGGGGGCTTCAGCTGCTTTAAATCACAGTGAGCAGGAGGAGACTGAACACAGGCACAAAGTTTTTTCCCCTAACTTGTTAAACATCCAAATACACAATCACACAGCAGCTCATTCTCATGAACCTGTATTCTTGTTCATTTTGTCATAAAATAGAATTTTATCAGGTGACTGTCACACTCCTCAGCAGATGCTGGATGTTTTGTTTGCCAAGTGAAAAGAGGACCAAGGAGAAGCAGCAGCAGAGGAAGAGATTTAACTGTGTTTATGTTAAGGTGATTCACTGTGGACAGAGCGCGCTACTAACACCACATGAAAACACTTGTTAGATGTTGATGTAGTATAAAGTTGTGTTCACAGCTGCAGTGACTCAGACCTGATGAGTCCACAGCAGTGTGAACAGAACAGACCAGATGTCCTCAGACCAGATCTAGGCCACCAGCGTATGTGCTCCTAGACCCGATTCCTCTCAGACCTCTGACTTTGCATCCGCCATCAGAGTGGTCAGATCAGAATCCATGTGGTCGTTTTAACGTCTCCTCCTCTGCACATACGGCCTGTCGTCATCATTTGGTGTCTGTCCCTCACAGACCGATAACAATAAACATGGAGTAGAGTGATGACAGCAATGGGGTCAGTGGAGAGACCAGGATGTTTCACATGTGGTGGACGTTTATAGAGAAGCTTCTAATAAGGTCAAACTGGGAGGAACATATTGTAACCCAGCAGTTTGGGAGGAAACTCGGCCATTTGACCATCGCACACACAACCTGGTTGTTATTCTTGTGCACAAGTGGCTCAATTACATCTGTGACAGTTTAGGAGCTCAGCGGTGTTTACATCGGAGCTGGGTACATGGCGCTGACACACATGGACGGGAAGCAGCAACACAACAAGACCAGAGCTGAGTGTTAAGGCCTGTAGCATGAACACAGCCTCGGTTGTGAATCTATACAAGGTTTCATGCATCTGGCACGTGGTGCATCATGAGTCAGTTCTGTTGGTGCAGCCGATTATCACCACACAGGTCAATATGCTGATAGTGTGCAATCTGTTATCCACAGCTGGTCCCTGTGAGATAAAGTCTAAATATTCCAGGAAGGTTCGCCTGGGCCAATGGGGACTTCTCATCCCTTTCTCTACTGCTGGATCATTTCCTCTCCTCCCTGTTTCCCACCTGTTTCCTAACAGGAAGTAACTTCAGTTAAATATGGAGGGAGAGATAGGAATTTAAGACTGAAGTGGACACAGCAAATCCTAAAATTTTAGTCCAACAACTGATTAAAAAAGAATGAACAGAAGGGAAAGTATTGTTTTTTTTTATGAACCAATCAGCAACATGTGCACAAGCTTCAGACTGAAGCCGAGAGTCGGCACTTTAACCCAACACAATCTTACTTTAAAAACAATTTTCAGGAGTGCAGCACAGAAACAAATCTGTACTGTATCATTAAATCTACAGGTGAACAAACTAAGGCTGCAACTAACACTTACTTTTATTATTGATTAATCGACAGATTATTGTAACACGTCAAAAATAGTGAGGAAGCATCTGACATTTACTTTATTTGTTAGTTTTAGAAAGAAAAACACAAAAGGTAAGCATACAGACAGCAGTGCTTACCCAAGTAAAAGGAGTGTGAAAGCACAGAGTGGCACCCTGGCGCTTAAAGAAACCCGAAAAACTGTTTATCGAGCTAATACATTCAGGGTGTCAGCGCTGCAGCTTCATTGGCGGAAAACAAACAGAGCCAGCAACGTTTTCACTGTTTACCTGCTCTCTTTGTGGATCAAACTGCCTCTAAAAAACCTGGTTCAATCACATGAGGTACATTTCAGAGAACCCTTCAAACTCAAAATACATTTAGAGCTAAAAAGCACGAGCCTGTGGTACCTACACAGCCGAAATTAGCCCGCATTAGTAGCAGGCAATAAGCGTAGTGGCACCAAACTCCATTTGAAAATATTTAAATTTTAATCCCACCTTGTGTAGACAACAGGATATAACAAAACTATAACTATTTGTACGTCATACAAGTCTTCTGTTAAACTCGACATTGACAGCGCCCACCCAAAAAATACTAGAATTCAATAAAATCACGACTTTAACCGTAGATCTCCGTTAGTCAATACCGCCCACCACGGCTGTATTTTACTAGAAAAACGCCGTAGAAAATCCTGTCTACAAAAACAAAAGCCTGTTTTCAATTAAAACAAGTACAGATGTATATAATAAATGTGCAGTAGATTAAATGGTCAGAGATGAAGTTGTCAGCTGTTGTGATTTTTACTGAAGAGATGCACTGGCAGGACATCGTCAATTTGTGAGGTTGGGTGAATACCAATCGAGTGAGCTGGATATTGTATGTGGAGTGCCTCAGGGTTCTGTTTTGGGACCTAAATTATTTATATTATACATTAATGATATATGCAAGGTTTCTGATTTAGTGAAAGTGGTTTTGTTTGCTGATGACACTACCATATGGGCATCGGGTGAAAACCTACAGCAACTCTCTGGACTGGTTTCACAGGAACTTGAGAAGATAAAGAAATGGTGTGACAGTAATATAGTATCTCTGAATTTGGATAAAACTAAATTTATGGTATTTGGGAATCGTAGACTAGATAACGAACATTGATTGAAAATTGGGGGAGCTAATATAGAACGAGTATATGAAATTAAATTTCTAGGTGTCATGGTTGATGACAAATTCTCCTGGAAATCTCATATCAGATATGTTCAGCACAAAATAGCAAAAAATATATCGATATTGGCAAGGGTTAGATATATTTTGGATGGGAAAGCACTACGTATTTTGTATTCTTCATTGATTTTACCATACTTAGAGTATGGTGTTGAAAACTGGGGCAATACATACAAAAGCTCACTTCAACCATTGTATATATTACAAAAAAGAGCGATAAGAATTGTGCATAAGATGGGGTATAGGGATCACACCAATGTAGCTTTCATACAGTCTAAATTGTTAAAATTTTTTGATTTAGTGGGATATAAGACTGCTGTGTTTATGTATAAAGCCAGGAACAATTTATTACCTGGTGGAATTCAAAAACTATTTAATGAAAGGGAAGGGGGATACAATTTAAGGGGTCAGTTAAATTTTAAAATTCATGCTATACGTACAACCAAAAAATTCCCTCACACTAAAATATATTTTTTGCGTGAGGGAATTCATGACAAAGCAGTAACAATGTAGGTATAACCGGATAATATAGGGTTTCAACAATTCTTGTCACTACTGATGAAACTGTTATTCTTTAGATTATCTGATTAGTTTACAAGTGTCTACAAATAGTGAAAAATGCTCCCCCCTCAGTTTCCCTGTTTACCATTTGACAAACTGTAACCACAAAGTGTTTGGCACTTTTGCTTAATAAATAATACACAGTTGGAGATAGAGCTTCAGTCATTTGGCTAATTTATGAATTGGCTGATTGTTTCAGTGCTAATGTGGTATGACCTCAGCTTGATGATCGCCCAGTATGCTCCCAGCCTAAGCTATCAGCCCTCTCCCTTTGAGTCCAGCTCACTGACCATGCGAACAGCCTTGTCCATGTCACAGTCACTGAAGATGATGAGAGGCGACTTCCCTCCAAGCTCCAGAGAAACTTTCTTCAGGTTACTGAGTGCACAGCTGCAACAAGGAATCACAGAGAAAAGTCTTATGTAACACTGATCTCAGTCAGTGAGCTAGCGGCATACTGTAATTGGGTCCTACCTCTTCATTATCTGTTTGCCAATAGGCGTGGAGCCGGTGAAGCCCAGCTTGCGGATGTCAGGGTGTTCGGACAGACGTTGTCCCACCACGCCACCTGAAGGAGAGAAAGCACTTAGGATTAGAAGCAGCAGGTCAGTGTATGTAGGACTGTATTAATATAAACTACACTGTGTGTTCATGGTAATGAAGGATCATGTCACACATTGCAACAGTGTGGCTCATTGATGTGTATTCACTCTGGGACTGCTCACAGAAAAATAACCAAAAGGTATCACCAGATTTCTCCTTCAAAATATATATTTTATAATCTTTGGAAAACAGCACAGTCTAATCTAGACCCACATCATTTTCAGCACATATTGTGCAAATGTATCTTTGTGCAATGGTTCTCAACCCTTGAATCATAAACTCCCAAGATGATTTTTTGCTACAAAAATGATGTCTATTTTTTCATATAAACTAGTACTGGGTGTTAGCTCTGTGGAAAACCAGTGTTTCATTGACTGAAATCAAAACTTATTGACTTTCTGTGTAACCTGTGATGAGGTACCATAAGTAGATTTTCTTTTGTCAGTGTTTGTCACCTGACGTTAGGAACCACTGGACTAGAGTAAAATCAGTCAGATTTTCTTTGCACTGTTGTACTTATTTACCTTCTTATAAGGTTTACTTGAACTCAAGGACAAACATGACAAGGAAAGAAAAAATGGATTTTGTATTTTTTTACTATGTAGATGCTGCATTTGTTTTACCTGAACCTGGCAAAATGTTGATGACTCCTTTTGGAATACCAGCTTTCACTGAAAGTTCAGCAAACTTCAGGGCTGTCAATGGAGTGACCTGTAGAAAAAACAAAAGCATCAAGTCAACTGCATGGAATTAAACAAGACATAGGATGAGGAGGTCTGTGCCACAAACCGAGATACACCAAATACGAAGGCAGCACTGTCTGAAGTATTAAGGTGTTGTCACTAAATATGGTGGCCCATTTTACATCTACAGGGCTTAAAGCTGTACCTTAGATGTGTTCGGGGGTTATGAGAAGGAATGGAGGGATAGGGGCATTTAAAAAATTAAGCAATTAATGAATTAAAAATGGTCATGTCTGTTACCACAGCTGATAAAAATGTTAATGACAACTGAACATGACTGGATACCTAGGTTACTGTTACTATACGCTCAAAATGAACAAAATATACACATACCAACAAAACATGAATGGAAGATATTAGAGATACATTGGTTGTTTAAGATGCTAAAATCATAGCCTAGCAAGCTTTAGGCTACAACCCAGATGTATGACAGCTGTGGCCATGGTTGGATAATTGGCCCCTGAAGCTCACCTGCAAAATATCCCAGAAAGAGAGAGAGAGAAAAACACAGAGATACAAAACAACCATGAAATGACTATAGCAAGATGCAAAATGTCTTCAAAGAGACACAAAACGTCCACCAAGTGACACTACATATCTGCAAGGAGATGCAAAACAACTACAAAGACAAAAAAGAACAGCCTTAGAAAGACAAACAAACGTCATTTCGATGCAAAACAACTACAAAGACAAAAAAAAAGAACAGCCTTAGAAAGATAAACAAACGTCATTTTAGTCTTGGTGTCTTGCTTCTATGTACAAGGATGGGGACTTTAACATGTCCATGCCTAGGGGCCCATTTTATCACAGTGCATATGATGACCCATTCCAGAAAGACAAGAACACCAAATCTAACTGTTTCTAAATGTGAATCCTCATGTTAACTTGAAAAGTCCAAATTGCGGAAAAATGAAATATCTACTTGACATGATGATGGTAAGAAAACTAAACACATAGCCTATTCACTGCAGTGCTTTTTCAAAGTAGTGTGGTCACATGGATCGTTGAGCTGCCACTTCACTGACCCACAGTGTAAACAAAGGTTTTTATTACTAAAGAAATATTAATACAAAATCTGCACATTTATTTATTTTACAATTTAAAGTGTTTCCATCTACATTTCATGAAGCTTGTACTGTGCAGTGCATGTATTGTATGTGTCAGGGCTTTTATTTATAGTGTGTGTACGTGTGTATGGTGTACTCACCTGGGCTGGTTTAAGCACAAGTGTGTTTCCAGCCGCGAGGCAGGCAGCACTCTTCCATGCCAACATCATGAGAGGGTAGTTCCATGGGATGACTATAGCACACACACTGTCAAGGGAAAAACACACAGTTCTGCACTCAGTATAACACAGAACTGAACTGAATATAAATTCACAGTATAAAGAGGTGGGTTTACCCCAAAGGTTCTTTCTTTGTGAAGGTCAGATTGCGGTTGGGCCTGGCCTGGTTGATCGGGATCGTCTTACCCTGCAACAAACAACTGCATTTGTGCCTGGTACTATAAACAGTTATGGATATTTCTAAAGCTGCAGTTTGTGTGCTAGCAAAAGGGAAAGTCTGTTTATCATGAGCCTACCTGGATCTTGTCACACCAGCCAGCAAAGTAGCGGAAGGTTTGGATGGACATGCCTACGTGGGTCTTGAGGGCTAGTGTGTATACCGCCCCAGAGTCAACGGACTCGATGGTGGCCAGCTCCTCCTGGTGTTCCTCCATCAGGTCTGCAAGCCTGAAGGGGGGAGGGCAGAAACACGGGTGAAAAGTAACTAGGCATTAAAAATTGGCTATAGAACTTGTAGTATCACTGGAGTCATGAAGAAAACAGTCTCTAAATAGAAAATAATAAATAGGTTTTCATATGAAATCCTATTTACCATCAGCTACTTTTCTGCACTGTAATATAATTAACAAGGAGAATATAAAATATGTATTTTTACAGATGTACATTATAAATCCGGATGCTGCCATGGATTCAGTGAGTTACACTGTGGGCTATTGTTTCAGCCCCTTTCTAGCCTTGTTTTGTTTTTACATTTTGGCTAATTGTCTCCATTAACAGTTTGCTGAATTTTTTATTAGCAGACCCTGTTTACAGTGTACCCATGAATGAACAGACATCTGCCACCAGGTTGCTGCTGCCCTTTTAACTTTGTTGATAAGTGGGCCAGATCAGCAGCCAAATTACAGTAACTAGTTGTTGGTTTTAGAACACCTGCATGCAACTGTCCCTAGAGACTAATAGTGAATATTGGTCACAATTACAAATACAACGAGAACAGTGTAAAAGCACAGTCAGATCTAAGAAATAATAAGGACTGAAATTCAAAGTGTGTTTTTAGCCATGGTGATCATGTAGCTTCATGGCAGTCCTACAGGTGAAGCTACATACCTGTATAGCAGACTTCCTCTGTCTCTAGGGTTCATCCTGCCCCAGGGGCCATTGTCGTAAGCTTCTTTGGCAGCTGCTACTGCCTGGTCCACATCCCCCACTGAGGCATAGGACACTTTACAGATCACCTGGGGGAAAGATGGTCACACATAGTCCACATATGCACCGAATCATTCTTCAAAAGTTTCTTTATGCGGGTATGCATGGATTGACATAGGACTAATTTCACATCACTCACAGATCCGTCAGTAGGATTGATGGTGTCATAGGTCTTGCCATTTTCTGCATCCTCAAACTTGCCATTGATAAAACACTGGTATGGCATTTTCACTGTCATATTGTTCACTTCCTTAGTTGCCTGGGTAGAACACAGAACATTCATTATAATATAATATGTGTCATATACAGTGCAGTGAATTTTTTTTTTTATCTTGGCACAAAGGACAATCTCTGGAGGGGGTTGTGCTCAGTTACTTACTAAACAAGGGTAAATTTGCAGGGTACAATGACACAATAATAGTGGGTGATCAAACTCACATAGTCAATGACCAACTCCTCCTCCTGGTCCTCTCCTCTCAGCTTGCGGACAAACAATTGGATAAAGTCCTGGAAGGTGGTGGCCATGTACACATCCTCATTCTGCAGCTGCACATCGGCACACTTCTGCTTCACTTCTTCCACCAGCCTGGACAGAAACCCACCAACAATGCTTTTCATTTTACATTTTTTTGCATAATAGCACCTACACAGTACTTTATTATAATTCAGTGTATCAGCCAGATTATCCCAGGTTGTCAGGGGAGGTTCCCTGTCAATTCTCATTCACATGCTACTTTTCACTCAACACCCTTCAGCACCAGTCACTGGCACACCGATGAAAACTAAGTCTCACACTTGGCTGCAATAATTACACTTAAAAATCTTATAGCATCCTTCCAACTTGAGAAATACTTTCAGATGGGGTTAGGCAATAACCTAAAACTACTGTTTTTGTAATAGTTACATTAAAGATATTATATAGACATATTTTGGTTTTGCCCCAATGTTCAGTCCCTTAAGCTAGATATCAAAAGATGGCTAACTTTTGTGTCCACTTTTTGGTGACATACAGTAAGAAATGGATGCCCTCTTTCTATTGTACTACTGGCGAAAAAAATGAAATTATCATAAACTGTGGCACCTGCAGAAAATAATGAATGCATTAGATTAGAAATAAATCAACTGTATGGGTTGCTTAAACATAAATATTAATTATTAGATGACAACAAAGGTTTTCAGTCATTTTAAGATGGTGGCCATGGCCCCCCTGGCCACCCCTTGGGACACCATTGATCATAAAGCTATTTTATCTTAAACAGTATCACTGCAGATAGACAAGGGAAGGATACTGATCATAAGTGCCAATATGTGTAGCTGTAGCACTTTAGACATGACTTCAGCTCAGTGATGTGACACCTGCCTCAGACCTGTATTGAAATCTGTGGCTTCCTTGTATGTGCAAAATGAAGATTTGTTGCTGCCTCTGATCTAAAATAACAAGTGGATCATTTCTGATCAGTGACTGCACTGTCTACCTGCCTCACCTGACTACATCCATGGATGCAGCTCCAGACTTGAAGAAGTCTGTGGTGTCCTCAATGACTGGGACATTGCTGAGGATCCCCTTCCATATGTTCTATGAGTAACAAAAGGAACAGCGAATTTTATGTCATTCATACAGAAAGCCAAATACTAAGTTAAAAAGAATCAGCTAACACAACAGTTTACTTGCCCTGATTTCCTTGGCCATCTTCTTCTCATCATCTGTCAGTTCCACACTGGAGGTTTCTCCAGAAGAGAAGTATTTGGAAGCAGGGATCATCTTCCCATCTTCAAACTGCAGGCTTTTCACCAGGAGCTGTAGATCAAACACAGTGTGGATAATGTACATTAGTCAAGTGGAGAAGAATCCAGCAGTATTAAAACGTACAGTACCTGGAGTGCGCCGTTATAACACTCATCCAGCTCTACTCTTGCTTGCTCTGAATATTTGTTTTGTAGTACAAGAGACTTCAGAGACACTCACAGCTTTCCCATCAGTTCCGTACAGAACAAGCCCATTCTTGGTGACCAGGCCGGGCTGGGATGCCCCCTCAATCTCCAGTACTTGACCATCTGGTACAGACCCCCCTAACATGGATGAACCATACAGGGTCACAGACTGAGGAAAAACACACAGAAAAGTTAAATACTTAGATATTTTGTGCAAATGTGTTTTGATTTGTTCCCTTACTTTCATTTTTCTGCTCAGTAAAATTTTAAAAGGCTGCCAAATTAGATTTCATTTTATAGCCTTAAAACTTCTTAAGACATTTTTAAGATCCTTTTCAGACCTTCAAATGCAAAAAAAAATATTTGTTTAATAAGAGCAGAAAAATCATACACTAAGACACTGCAACATTTGTAAGCCAACAAACACCAAACACCATTTTAAGGCATAAAATCAAGACCATTTAAGGCCCACATTTTAAACATTTTCAGACATTTTAAGAATCTTCCAAAACTCGCTGTTACCATGACCTTACAACAGACAACTAGCGTTTGTGTTTTATTGGCTGTGACACCCTGGAAACGCACCTGACCATCAATGACAGTCCAGGCACCTGGGACTTTGTCATGGCCACGGATCCAGTTGTGGATAGCTTCAGCCGGTTGGGCCAGATTGACCTGGGGCACAGAGAGAAGCTGGAGTCAACATGCCAGTGGCTTTGAGGGAAGCCCAACAGCTGGCTACTGCTTGCTGACCAACACATGGAAAAACGATGGTGGAAAAATAACCCCGTATGCTAAGAATAGCACAGTTAGGCACACTGCCAGCAACGTGGCTGCAAGTGACAAATCAGAGAGCAGCTAGGATCAACCCCACCTGTCTTTCTCGTTGTATGATTAAGCACTTGATATATACTGTATGTGTCCCTGAGCAACATGTTGAACCAAGAGTACATTTCCGTGCTGTTAACTGAATGAAGCTGTAGTAGCACTGAGAAGCTGTCCAAAGGAAGCAAAAAACTGTGTACTGTAAAACTGTGGCATCCTGGGTTACAACATAGTTCTGCATTTAGTGTTGCAGTGATGAATGTAAAGAAGCATGTAGTATCTGAGTTTCTTTTTTATGGGAAGTCCCTGATTCAAATGCAGGCTACTGGAATACTATGGCTCCCATGGCTTGTTGTGAGTCAATTGGTCTGTGATTTCATTAAAAACAAGTTCATTTAAAGAGCGACTTTACACCCATTCTATTTATTTAAACATGCATCTTAAACTCCTTTCCTCAAGGTAAAAAAAAATGCATTCACACCTATACGCACAACCCCTTCACATCAAATCCTCTACTAGTATCACTTATCAAATATGATTCCTTCTAAATCTGTGATTTTACCTTTCAACGTGGAGAGATTATTGAATAGAAATAAGGTGCCAGGAGAGATAAAAGGTACATAACTGAATGGCTCCAAGGATTTTAGTGATTGGGAACCAGATCCAAAATGGAACCAGCTCCTGGAACCCATCCCTGTGTTTCACTCACACATCCTGAAGCGTGTTTGTTCCTTTGAACACATGAATATCCCAGTGTCCTTGTCCTCTCTTTTCACTCAGGCTCTATGATCAGCCATTCTCTCTCTCTCCTCTGGCTGTTGGCGCCTCATACCAGGTGTTTTTATCTTAGTCCTCCAGGAGTCCTGGCCTCTTTTGACCTCTCTCTCTCTTTTTTTTTTTTACCTTTATATCTCCTTCTGTTTTGTCCCTTTCTCCTACATGAATCATGTTTGGGTTTTACCTCTTGTAAGTTTGTGTAGTCAAGATTTTTATTTGCCATGTATGCATAAACAAACTGTCTAAGCATATAGGAATTCTTGTGCAGCTCTCCTTTGGAGTCAGGTAAGGAGTCAAAAGCCAGAAAGAACACTTAGTCTTAAAATAAAGTTACATAAAGGAGACCATGCATTAAAACTGCCATACACAAAAATAGGGTAATAGTATTTCCCACAGTGAACTTCAAACATCGACCTTAGTAATTCAGATGGTGGAGTTGGATAGGTCATTACGCTTGGTGAGGTAGTGAGGGGTTATAACATACTAAAACACTGTTTATATTCAGGCCTGTTTCCATTGCTTGGTTGAGAATGTCCTGCTATTATTCAGGTCCCCCAAGAGAACACTGTTGAGATGCTCTTACAAAAATACCTTGTGGAACATTTCTGTATTATTATTGCACATGTCTAGTAAGGGGTTATTGCACATATATTCTCACATATTCGTATTTGCCATCAGTCTTACTGCGGCAGGGAAAAAGTTGCTGTAAAGTCTTGTTCTGTGTGTGATGATACTGTCTGCCCTGCTGTGCCTGAGGTGTAGTCAGTCATCTTTCCATGTCTTCATGATGGAGAGGATGTCATGTGGTTCAGGCCTGACTTGACTTGAAATTAAGGCTCTTAAACTTTACTTAGGATTTTGCTTTGTTGCTACATGTTATCAAATAAATACTGCAACCAGTCAAATTAGCCTAAAGCCTAAATAAAAGCACTTAAAAAACACACTGAGCTGAACTGAACAGGAGTCAAATTCTTTGTGTTCAATATGCTGTACTTGGCAAATAAAGATGATTCTGATTCTGAAATAATGTAAAAGGAGCCACAGTGTATTCATATCAGATGTGACTCTGCACTGCTGTCAAGAAGGAGAACTCTCACCTTGGAGTTAGACTTCTTCTGAATGCCTTCATAGCTGGCTCCTTCCTCTGTCTGGGGAACTCGCGGGGCCTTTCCATCAGCGATGAGCTGCACTGACTCCACCTATACCAGGAAACAGTGAGTGTGACATCTCAGTCAGTGGTGCAACAGCTGGCTTCAAAGCAGCAGCTGTGGGGCTCAACTTGTCTTGAATGCTTAATAAATTTGAAATATGAAATATTGATAATGATATATGAAATATCATTATAAAAGCTGTCCAATTGGTTACCATGGCCTTGATGCCCTCTGGGAAGAGAAAACGGTTGTAGAGTGTGTCCACGGTGTCACTGGGTTCAACAGCACACTCCCTCTGCAGCAGGATTGGTCCGGTGTCCAGTCCATCATCAGCCCAGAAGACTGTGAAGCCAGCTTTCTTATCACCATGGATCAGAGTCCTGGTGACATATTCACACCGAGAATAAACACATGGAGATGTGCCATAACACACCCATTGTTAGAGCAGAGTAGGCCATAAATGTTACCAAATGAAGCCAAATCAGATAAAGAAAGAAGAGTAAGATGAAAGATGGGGCTATCACACTGTAGACAAAAACTGTGAAACAACCCAGCTGCATACTACTGTATATAGATTCATGCCAAGCTATTTACAATATATTAGTTTGACTGGATTCATATTAGCTCCAAGTTACAATAATTATTTTAAGATATATCTGCTGAAATTACATTGTGATTAGTAAGACTGAAGTTACTTTAGTCAAAATGCAGTTGTACAGTTGGTATCTTGGACTTGAGTGTAGTCGAGATTACTAAAGAGATGTTTTTAATTTGATTTACAAGTCAAACTAATCTCAAATGATGTAGCTGGGCTTAGGGAAGCTAATATTCCCATATTAAATGAACTTTTTCTACTTAAATAAATAGTTCGACAGCTTTTTTGCTTTCCTAAAAAGCATTAGATGAAAAGGTTAATATTGCTTGCACGTCTGTCTGTCCTTTAAATATGAAGCTAGAGCCAGATGAAACTAACTTAGCTTAGCATAAAGACTGCGAGCAAGACCAACTAATAAAGACAACGTATTCAGTTTGTTTAATCGTGTACAGAGAGGTGTATAGCAGCAATTCTTTAGTGAAAAGTGGCTGTTCAGGGCATTTTTATCTTTGTACTGAGCTAACCTATTCTATGCTAAGCTAACAGCCTTCCTGGTTCTACTTTGATAGTAATCAGATGGAAATGAGAGTGGTGTCAATACTGTCTTCTAACTCTGGCAAAAAAAAAAAAAAAAAAAAATGTATTTCCCAAAACAAGTGTCTTTAAAGAAAATGCATGTACTGTATAGTACAAGTTGTTTTTACATTTACACCCAATGATAACAGGAGCAGAAAGATATTAAGGGTGGAGAAAATACAGACTAGTGGAAGAGATAAGAACCAGCTTGCTAGGAGGTGGGGTCAAACAGAACTCTATGGTTGTATCTGTACTCTGACCTGGGAAACAGACAGAACTGTGGATTATAAAAATCACATTTAGCTTTTTAGTATTAGTTGTCTAAAAAATAGGATAAAAACCTCTGGAACAGAAGGTAGCTTAACTTAGCTTTACAGTGTGACTCAGTAATGGTAAATGATAAAATGTACAAGAAGACACATAAACTCAACCCATTTACTCCTGATTGTGTTCCACTTGACTGCAACAGTTGTCAGTCACTCAGTTAATGAATAAAGCCTAGTTAGTTTTGGTAAATTGCCACCACTGGTTCATACTGAGCAGAATGCGACTGTTGTCTTTCTGGCTGAAGTGTAACGCCTAAACTGACAATGATATGTAATCTATCAACCCCTTCTCCCACTAAAGCCACTTCAGGCCTTCCATCCCTGATCTCTCACCAGTTAATGGCCGAGGCTCCTCTGTGCCGGGGCAGAATGGAAGGGTGGTAGATAATGGAGCCATGCTTGGGGTGGTCGATGATGTTCATGGGAATAAACTGGGAGCAGAAGGGCAAGACGTTGAGCTCAGCGCCCACTGCTTTGTAGGCCTCCACCACTTCTGGGATGGGCTTCCCCTTGACCCGCCATCGTGGGAACTTGAACACTGGGGTCCCGTCTTTCTCTGCCGCCACCGCTGAAGGAGAAGAAGAAGAGAGTTTAATGATACAGCAAAAAATATGTCTGGCTGCAGGGTGATGACCTCTGACTTCCTCTGTATGGAAGAAAGCAAATCCTCTGTTAAGGCAGTATAAAATGCCTTTCTCAACTTTTCTAAATTCTTAAACTACATTATATACATATATTTTTTTATTTATTTCATGAAATAAGTAGTACCAGCATTAACATCTGAAGACTCTTTTTTAATGTCTATTTGCTGTAGGAGTTAAATTTACTGCTTTTGGCTTCAAAAAGTAGCTAAATGTGTCAATTGTTCAGGTGTGGAGACACTTAATTAATTAATAATTAACCACTTAAAAGCCCGAAACAGCAACAAAAGTTGTGATGGTATTTAAAATCAAAATCAAAACTGAAAAAGTGATTTGTAAATCACCTGTGTCCTGTATTACATTGGAAACAATACAGCTACACAATAAAGACTCACTTCAATTAGGGACTGAGGACACCAAGTGTGTGTCAAGTGTAATTTTGTCCCATTCCTCCTGCAAACAAGTCTTAAGGTGCACAGCAGTCCTGGGTCATTGTTGATGCAATTTGCATTTTAAAATGCTCCACACATTCTCTGTTGGGGAAAGGTCAGGACTGCAGGCAGACCAGTCCAGCACTCGCACACCTTTCCTCCACAGCCAGGCCTTGGTCCATCCCAGATGCCTCTGAGCCCAGAGCAGTCGACTGCACTTCTGGACACATAGAGCTTCCTTTTGGCACAGTACAGTTTTAAGTGGCATTTATGGATATTACTAGTTATTGAAGTGCCTGACACAGGTGTGCCAAAGTAATCCTGAGTAATCACTTAACAGTATGGTCATAAAACTGTCTCCAAATGAAATTCATTATTATTTTATAAATATAAGTTTCAGATTCAATTTTTTAATCTGTTCTTCAGTTTTTAACTGCAGCAATTGAAAATATGAAGTAAACTGTTTAATTACTCATTTAAAAAAACAACAAAGTGATTTATTTTGTGAGAATCTAAAGAGTGAAATTTAATTTTTGTATTCAAGTCCTTTTTCACTAAGTGTAAACATACTGTAGATACTAACAGACTTTCCCTCTGGTATGACTCAGGTATTTTAATAACATCAGTTGTTAGGATGACACACAGGGGTCAGGAGGCTGAGAGCTGATGATGATGACGCTTCCTGGGAAAACTGCCTCATACCGAAGAGCATAGCCTGAATGCTCTTTGGTATGAGGCGCGTAGAGACAACGCACATCTACCTCAGTCACAGCACCAGCCTCTGATGACCCAGAGTGAGGTTCACAGGCTCATCAGAGCCCATCACATCAAGGATTTTCTCTTGCTATGTTTGTGCGAAATGCCTGATTTGTTCCATTTAAAAAGTTATTTTATATGTTAATTGCTGTATAGAATAAAACTGGTAATATAACAAGTTACACAAAAGAATAAATATATATTCTGAATTTATTTTATTTACAGTACTAAAGTAAGCTAGGTCTGCATTTGTACTATAAACTATTTAATATGAACTTAATCCAATGCAAAAGCTCTTTTATTTTACATTTTAAAATTTCTTCTGTAAATAGTCTGCAATGTTTTTATTTTAACAATGAGTCAAACATCTAATTGCAGTATGGATGGAGTTAGGCAGAGCAACTAACCCACAGAGAAGTAGCAGTTGCCCACAGCTCTGCAGAGTATTTTAGCATCTTTCAGCTCATTGTTTTGGTTATACATCCAACTGAAATATCTTTACTGTTCTGTTTAATCAGTTTCATTTCCAGCTGCAGCAGGCAGATGTTCACAGCAAAAAAAGCACAAAATAGCCATTGTACACTACCAGGTCAGCAGTAAACCAGAGGCAGACAGAGTTACAGACTAGCTGGTGAACATAGTGGAGCTTTTAGTAGCCAAAGAGCTAGACATTTTGCTCAGAAGACAGAGGAGACCAAAACAGAGCTAAAGGTGAGGGAATACCCATCATAAGGTGGCCACAAACACCACTCCAAAATGAATGATCATGTTGCTCTGTACCTGCTGGATGCATAAAGAAACAAGCATTAGCTAGCTATGTGTCAGTCTTGCAATCCTGTAAACTTAGCAATTCTGAGAAGTATAATGTTGATGGACCTGAAGAACTAGCTGTGCATGGAACCAGACAGCAGTCTGTTCTGCTCTATTGTCTATTCATGAGTAACTGTTGTTGTAACACCTTTCCCTTATAATAATAAGAAGCGGTTTCTTCTAACTGATCTGGATTGTGTTCTCACTTCTACCAGAAAACAAATGACACCAACACTACCAAACTGAAAAAGTATACAGTCCAATAATTAAATAAAACAGTACAAAATGCTTAATGTGAGTCTGTGGGTACATGCTGTACAACCACTCGGTAATAACAGATAACTGAAGGACCAGCAAGACAGTAATGGTGCATGTAGTCAGGTGGTACACAAATTAGGGAGAAAACCAGAGAACTGACAGGTGAACACAGAGGGAAACAGAGTTCCCTTACCTAAGGGGTCAGCCTTGCCATCCTTGTCAGGGACTGTGAACACACCCACCACCTTGTGACCCTGGTTCCTCAGGTTACTGTACACCTCCTGGCCAAACAGGCTCTGGCCAATTATAGCTAGTTTTATCTTATTCTGGTAATAATGCTGTAATGAGAGTAAGAGAAGCATTAGTTTCAACCATACTCAGTAGAAATCTGAAATACTGAAGATTTTAGAAATACTCATCTGCATTGAGACCACTTGAAATGTTGTCAAAATGTACACTGGACATCATTACATTGCTATGGCATCATCAAGATTATTTAATCGGACTTGACAAAGAAGGCAACCACTTCAAAAGGTCTGTTGTGACACTGCCTAGAAATGATTTGCATTATTGAGTGATTTTTTTTAACTAAACTGATTAATAGTTGGTCTAAAAACTACCTAAAATAGTGATAATGCCCCTCAGTTTCAGAGCTCAGGGTAACATCTTCAGATTTTGTAACTCAGCATTATCAAACCTTTATGTACTTTACAAAGAATGAATGCACAGCAAAGCAACCAGTTTGAGAAACTGGAAACAGGCCCCAGAATAATAATAATAAGAAGAAAACAATAATAATCCTACCTTTTTGTTAAGAGGGGCGAAGCCTAATGTTTGATGACATTATGAATATTAAGTAGCCACCTACTAAATAATTTAAATTTAAAATAAAAATGAGTTTCTATTATTAAATGAATATAAAAGGAGCATTAAACAAGTAAAACAAATAATGATCTTGCTTTAAGGATTAGTGCAGGGAAAAGGTGAGTGTTTCTGCCCCTAGTTTGAATTCATTTAGGAATGTTTCTCCTATAGTTTAGTTCAGTGTAGGCTGAATCAATTCAAAGTTTGAACAAAAATAAATTTGTCTTATTAAATATTAAACCAGTAAATCAAATAATTTATAACCCCTGTTAACTAAAAAATACATAACCATATAACATCTACATCTTGACAATGGGAATAGTTTTGAATTCTGTGTAGGAATAAGGCTGATTCCATAAGGAGTTAGTTCAAATTAGGGATAAAAATGAATTAATTCTTTTCATAAACACCTTTTAAAAAACTGGCATACATATTTTTTTAAATAACACTTACCATGAAAGATGGTGAATACACCCAACAGGTGATAAAACAAATGAAATCCATCAGTAGTATACAGTAGGTCCAGTGATCACAGGCTCATTCCCCAAAGGCCGTAGCAATTTACAAGTGGCACAGGTCTGCATGTGGTCTTTTCAGGTAGAGGTAGTCTCAGGTGCACAGCAGGTAGCCATGCAGGAACACGCAGAGTAGCGTTACCCCTCTGTGCTTTATTAGTTTGACCCCCTCCACCGTTAGCTGTCACATCATCAGTAGCTACATGCGATCTGACCTCTTGGTAGGGTTCATGGACAACCTGGAGGCAGGACAATGCCCCCATATAAGCCGGTTAAATCACATAACTGGTTGTGTTTGTAGATTGAGGTGTTCTGTCAACAATTTTCTCTTTTATCATCAAATGTACAAAGTAACTATGTACATTTACTCAATTACTATAACTACTCAGGTACAATTTTGAGATATATTCAGTGAAACATTTCCATATTCCTCTACTTTATACTTTGACCTCACTGTTTTTTAAAGAGAAATACTGAACTTTTTAATATATTCATTAGAAAACAGTTCTTCAGGCCAATAAAGCATAAGATTTATTGATTATAGGTGGAAATTCACCATGTAGCCTAATTCAAAGTAAGCTGGCTAAAATTAACTCTACCTTTGCCAGCTGTAACATTATGTGCACATTATGAGCTTTTACATTGTTGTTCTCTGGGCAGATCGCTTAGGTAAATGGATTGTATTTATATAGTGCATTTTTCCACAGTGTATTTATGAAAATAATTTATTGCTGAAATTCATTTTTATTCCAAATCTGACAAAAAAAGAATAAAAAATTAGCTTCATTCATGCATAAAACCCAAAGTACATGTTTCTAGTGTCAAGACGTAGATGTTTTGAGCCTATGTAACTTTTAGTTCAAAAGAGGTTTATAAATTAATTGATTTGCTGGTTTAATTGAAAAATTCCCTTCTATTCAAACTGTATATTGATTCAGTTCTTTACACCTATGAATATTTAGACAGCAATAATGAATCCAACCTAGGGCTAAAACACTTGCTTTTCCCTGGGCTTTTCTTGCTAAATATAACTTAATATGGATTTAATCCCATTATGCACTCGAATCAATGTTGTAACATACAGTAGCTCCTATAACACTCTGGAACTTACGCTACATCTGGCTGCAAAACAGCCCCAACAATGATGAATGAACGAGTAGACTGTCCATATGTTGTTGCTGTCCTACTGGTCGCTTGCAGCCCTGCAGGATCCCACCTAAGCCGCGGACGCTCTAATGTTACACTGTGGAGCTCATATGCTGATGCAACCCCTCCAGATCTTGTACCGTCAGGCTGATACAGTGACAGCCAGGGGCGGATCGGGAGAGAAAGGCAACGTAACGTGGCAAACTGGCACCGATTTTGTACACCAGCGTTTGCAGAATTTGTTGAAAATTTAATAGTAGAGCGACTTATGAGGACCTGGAAATGAACATCGACTCATGTCCCTCAGTCAGAGCCGAGCATGGCTTAGTCTTCATGTCAACCCCGACCTGGCATGCGTCCAGCATTTACCAGTATGATTTTGTTTCATTAATGCAACATAAGTATCAAAGGCACCATTCATTCTCTAGTGCGGCAAAAGCTGCAAAAGCAGCGTCACTCACGGACGATGTGGAGAAGCTCCTTAAGACTTGACTCGCCGTCCACAACATAATGGCGGTGTTTTGTCTTAAAAAAAAAACTGTATTTGAAATAAAATACAATCAACCCAGATGCTGCTGGAGTAGTCCGAGCTGCTGCTGAGGAAGCTGTGCTATTGGTCTCACACTCACACACACACACACCTGCCTCTCAGCGTGAAGGTGGAGTCAGAGCTGTCCTGTGCTGATCGCCACAACAGAATGGACTGGACGTGGTGCTAGACGCTGTACGTGCGCGCTCACACGACGAGTTCTGCGTGCCCGAACGCGCGGTCACGCGTTGGAACTCTATGGACCTTACATGAAACAGCTTTGTCAACTTTACTGATGCAAACAAATTGACTTAACTATTAGCCATTTGTTCATATTATTTCCCAAATTCACCTTAAATTAGTGCTTAAACAAAAAATATTAGTAGGCATTAAAACGTAAACAAAAAGGCATTTAAACTTAAAAACATATGCACCTGTATGTAACTGAGAGCAAGGACATGTTAAGCAAGACGACTTTAGGCCAAGTGTATTTATAATGTAGCAAATAATCATAATGTTGTAGCAAACAGCTACAGTATATTAGCCTACTAGCCATTTCTTGCCAATAGTAAGTAAACAAAGTTGGTGAATGCTAACAAATTACTGTGTTCACCTGCTGTGTATCTGCCCAGTCTCACACACAGAACAAGCTCTGATCAAACACACATCTGTCAGCTCATAGTCAGTGAGGGGAGGCCTGTGAAAGACACACACGTTGGTCACCTGTAAAGCAAAGTGCACGAAACGTTGTCTAGTACTGTTGCATTTATTCCATCTATTCAGTGTCAAATTATAATGCTCCTGTGCTGTAGCAGCACTGATTGGCTGCTGTCACTCAAAGGAAACTTCTTAACTTTTCTAACAGTTGCAATCAGTCCTGATAAATGAGAACAATGTGCTCTAGCACAAATGCATGTCAGGCTTATCTACAATCATGGCCAAAAATATGGGCATCCCCACATTTTTGTCAGAAAACGCACTATTCCTCCCAGAAAATTGATACAATCACAAATGATTTGGTATTTTCATGTTTATTTCTTTTGTTTACATCGGAACAACACAAAAAAAGCCAAATCTGATACATTTCACACCAAACTCCAAAAGTGGACTGGACTGACACCGTAAAAAAAAAAAAGAAATAGTTGTATTTCAAGTATGTGTTGCTCCTTTAATTTGTAATGAAACTCACCTGCAGCAAACAACAGGTGCTGGTAATATAACAGAGGTTGACAGCCCATGGTGCTGTAGCTAATCTCCCTGGACGAAAGAGGAAAAACTGATGACAGATTGCAATGAAGGACTGTTTGAATGGTGGATAAAAAACCTTGATCACCGTCCAAACAAATTCAAGCTTACCTACAGGCACAGGATACAACAGTGTCAGCTCACACTATCCATCACCATCTGAATGACAAGGTACACTATGGTAGGAGACCCAGGGGCCTCACTGCTGACACAGAAACATAAAAAAGCCAGACTGGAGTTTGCTAAAACTTACCTGAGGAAGCCACAATCCTTCTGGGACAATGTCCTTTGGACAGATTAGACTAAAATAAAGCTTTGTGGTCGAGCATATCATTCTACTGTTTTCAGAAAACAAAGTGAGGCCTTTAAAGAAAAAACATGGCCCCTACAGTCAAACATGGCAAAGATTCACTGATATATTGGGGTTGATTGGCTGCTTCAGGCACTGGACATCTTGACTGTGTGTGTGGCATTATGACATCTGAGGACTACCAGTGAATTCTGGGGCACAATGTAGGGCCCAGTGTCAGAAAGTTGGGTCTCTGTCAAGAGGTCATGGGTCTTACAGCAGGACAATGACCCAAAGCAGACTTCAAAAAGCACCTAGAAATGGTTTTAGACAATGAGCTGGAGAGTTCTGGAGTTGCCAGCACTGAGTCCAGATTTAAATCCATAGAGCAGCTGTGGAGAGATCTCAAACCAGCGGATGAGAGAAGGAACCCTTCAAATCTGAGACCTGGAGCAGCTGGCAAAAGAAGAGTGGTCCAAACTTCCAGTAGAGAGGAGGAAGAAACTCACTGATGGTTATAGGAAGTGACTGATTTTAGTTATTTTGTCCAAAGGATGTGCTGCCACATATTAAGTTGAGGGTGTCAGAAATTCTGCCCAGTTCATTTTTGGAGTTCTGTGCAAAAAGAAAAACATGAGAATACCAAAGAATTTCTGATTGCATCAATTTTGTGGGAGAAGTGGTGTGTTATGTGACAGAAATACAGGGGTGCCAATTTTTGTCCATGACTGTAGTTGTAACCTTTATTAAAATAAAGAAACTAGCTACATGATGCACTAACACATATCAAATGAATCACAGTGATGTCTGCATTTGGTAGTTTCCCAACTTGACTGTCGAATATTTAAAAAAAAAAAACATGAAACATTCAAAGAGGAGCAGCTCTGATTTATTTGTGAATAGCTTCAACAGCAGCAAAAGAGGCAGCTAAAGGGAACAGCACTAGTGGTGGATGTTGCTCAGGGCTCCCATCTTTGTGCTGTCAACTAAAGAGATGAACATCAACCTGCCATTATTTGGATCGAACAGCAGTGATTCAATGATTCCCTTCCTATGCCACTGTGTATATTTAAAAAGGTGCTGGTTTCTCTCGGTCCATGTCCTCGCTGCCCCTGCAGTCATTCACAGGTTACAACTCAACCAAACTGACTGGGTTACACACTTTGTGTGTGTGTAAACTCTCAAACATGAATAATCATTTGTGCTCCTGGACAAGAAGCTATCATGAAACACAAACAGGGAACATTCAGATAAATAATTTGTGTCACCACAGTGGGGGAAAGCACTAGTAGAGATGACTTTTCCACAGACAATGCACCAATGCTGGAGGTGTCAAACCAAGAAAAGGGCATTATGTATATTAAAAACAAAACCACAATTCTAAAGACTATTGAAAAGCAGCAGTCCTGATATGCTGCCAGAAAAGATGCACAATGATTTTATTTATTTTTTTATCCAATTGTTTTTATGTCTTGAAGTTGTCACTAAAGACATATGTAATGCTTTATTTGACAGGTCCTATACTTTGAAACTTGCCTTATAAAATCAGCTGGTGGCTGTAAATTACCAAGATATTTGCAGGAAAATCCTACAGTTAGGTGCTAATAAGGGAAACATGTTCCGTTTCTCTTACTATTAGTACCAAGTATTTAACTGTAAATTATACCAGCTAACCGTTAGGAAATTGAGGAACATTGCAAAATAAAGCATTAGCAATAATAATAATAATAATAATAATAATTGGTACCCGATTACTTTCAACTCTCCCAACAGTGAAAACCTGTTTTGGTTGTACAAAGGTTCAATGGCACTTTGTTCTTCAGAAGCCTTTACTAGTGCTAATGGGTGGCTCAGGCACACTTCTCCAAGACACAGGACACTTGCTAGTGTTACATACAATACAACAAAGTACAGGTGACAAAAGACGAGATGTTCTCCCTTTTCTTCTGGATGACTGAGAACAGTTGAGTGATGAGATTACAGGAAGCGAATTCCTGCTCCAAACTGGACACCATCACATATCCTATGACAGGAAATAAGAGAAAGATGCTAGAATTGATTGTCATCTTGGAATAAGTGATTATTTTATGGAGCATCATAACACTAAATAAATGAACTGCTGCACTGATTTCTGTGAGTTCAAACATACTATTATGCTGAACCTTTGAGTCCAACTATGTGATATGCGAATACAGGTGTGATCTGTCATCAACAGTGCATACAGGTTTATTAGCCTGGTTATAGTTACTCTTCAAAAACTCTGTTGCTTACCACAGTGACATTGCTACTTGTCTCACCAACACCTGTAGGTTTGTGTGGGGTTGGCCAGGCATGCTGATATGAAAACTGAGCAAAACCTGCTCAGCTCAAAGCACCACTGAATACAGCCTCACAGAGCCAGTAGCATCACTGTATTAGGCACAGTGGTGCTTGGAGCTAAATGCTGACATGGGGTGTTAATATGCTGATTTTAGCAGGTATAATGTACACCATATTCACTATCTTACCAAAGTTTCATGGCAATCCGTCCAATAGGTGATGAGATATTTCACTCAACACCATGGTGGCAATATAGGAAAAGTCAAAGACGATTCAATAGAGCCCAGCTGCTAGCACAGCTAAAAATCAGGAACATACATCAATGGTGGTGAGATATCGTCTACCTGTCTCCACTCTGAACTCCCATGGGCACACAATAGTTGAGCTCCAGTCTGGCGATGTTTCCAAGCCGCAGCATGATGCCTGCTCCATATGACCAGCGAATACACTCAGCTAGCTTCTGAAGGTGCGCTCGGGGACCATCACCTACATATGTAACATTCAACATGTCATACAAAAATCCATTCAAATCATTTCAAAAATGTTCCACAGAATCACACAGATGAGATGCATTGTTAAAGCAGAACTAAAATTTGGAACAAAACCACTATAAGAAGTGAAAAGTTTATTATTGTAGTGAAATAAATTTGGTTTATTTTAGTAGTCTATATTAGTTTTTTTGTTTTTACATTTCCACACATCATTTCAGTCAGTCTTGACTAACACAGCAGGCATGGTATGTCATCATCATAGTTTGACTGCACCTACCATAGTTGAGGTTGCAGAGGTTACCGGCATTGAGAAAAAAGTGTGTCCTGAAAAGGTCTCCGAAGCCACCCTTGCCTGGTCTGAATGGTAGAGGGGTGTAAAGGTGCAGACTGCCCGCCCAGTATGCCTCTCCACCCAGATAGTCACCTGAAACACAGACAGGCAGGACATACTGTATACAGTTCAATCAGAAGTTTACATATACCTTAGCCAAATACATTTAATCCTATAAACATTCCCTGTCTTAGATTAGTTGGTTCGTTACTTTATTTTAAGAATGTGAAATGTCAGAAAAATTGTAGGAAAAAAAAAGATTTATTTCAGCTTTTATTTATTTCTTCATGTTCCCAGTGGGTCAAAGGTTTTAAACAATTTATAGACAATGCTACCAAATACTAAATGAGTATGTACTTGGGTCAAGAACTGGTGGAACTGAGTCAGGTATGTAAACTTTTGGCTTCAACTGTACATACTGCATACACCCACACCTCAAATTCTCCAGGTCTAGGGGTACCGACAGAGTTATAATGATCATCCTGATTATTCAGCAACTGTAAATGTTGTGACCCAGATTATTGACCCAGAGAAGACAGGAAGCACCTTGCCAGAAAGGGAGAACATTATACTCATCCTTTTCTTTCATGGTCTCTGGTTAATGGCTTTCTATATGTCTTTATAAACTGTCCATACCAAATATTCACTTATTGCCTTTAACCTTTTGGTCTTTTATCCGTCTTTGCTGTAAAGTCTAAAGTTATGTCCATATGTGGACAAATAACTGGACTGGACTATTTGAATGGTGGAAGGACAACAAAAAGTGCAGAGCACCAGGTCTTGGACCCACAGACTGTGTGGTTGCTTTGGTTCATGAATGTGCAGCAACACAACAAGGCTGACAGTGTGGTGACTAATGAATACACACTCAGCCAGTCTGATGAGCTCCTTTAACCTGACGTCTGCCACATAAACAGTACAATATTGACTTTTAATGGAGCCGTCTGATGCATTACTCTGTAGCAGCCTGCTGACACCAACAATCACTCATACTCGTTTTCTGATTCAAGTGATTAATTACATAATTATTTAAATTTTATGCATTACTGCCTGCTGCACAATTTACTGTGTGCTTAGTGGAGTATGACATGAATCGTGTATAACCAAACACAGATTCAACATGATTTAATCATATCATATAATGCTAGAGTTCCCTGGATTCCAATCTGAAGAGTGAATAGGATGAAGAAAAAAAAAAATCACTTCTCTCTGATAGATATATTTGTCAGTCCCTGTGTTATGTCCTCCTCCCCATCATGCTGCCTGCACTGTGGCTGAAATGTACTTAGCTCCAGCCCCTTATGCATCCCATTCATTTATGTACTTCTGAAGTGCTAATAAAATATTCAGCCCTTAAATCTAAGAAGCTTCTTGTCTTTGTTACTTAAATTATAATTTGGGAGTGTAGACCACCTTTTAGCCTCTCTCTTGTTTTTGACACAGACAACTAAGTACCCCATTCAATTCAGTGGGAAAGTCTGTTGACTGGTAGTATTTATTATGGTGCACATTTTCTCTGACTAGTAGATGGTCTAAACAGTTTTTACCTTCACTTTGCGGCCCAATACTATACATCCCAAATCCTCGTACACTAGTGGGACCTCCAAGGTAAAACCTGCACACAAAAAAAAAGAGCATCACTGAACCATCCACACAGATTGCAGTGCTGTCACAATGACAAAGTTCCATCACTTGTAAACAGTCAGACCTACAAACTGATTAATAGCACACACTTTGTTCTCATTGTATCTTATTATGGAGCAGTGACTTGAAGCCTAGGGTTGTCGATAAATCAGACATACTGTACCTATCAGCAATGCAAGACAGTTGTCCTCCGATGGGATAAAGCAGCCCACCCCACAGAGAAGCAGACAAGACCTGAGGGAGCACAAAAGGCTCCCTTTATAAACACCAAACCTTGCACAGAGAATGTAGTCAAACAGGACAAGGCAGAAAACAGCTATACACATCTACGGCTTCTCTCTGCTTTGTTGCCATCTGATGGTTCTTAACTGTGACCAAAGGTACAAGTGCACCAGCAGACTGTATCAGCACCAGTAGCATCACTTGTATTTGATAGTAGATTTTGGCAGGAGCACTGAAACATGGCGATCAGTGTCCACAGAATCCATTTCTATGCACAAATACCAGCTCAAACCTTGGCTGTAGAAAAAAATAGAAAAAAAAAATCATGTTGACAGGGTCTGATTTCTGTCTCACCGAGTCCCAGAAGAGCCGTCTGTTAAGCTGGAGCTCAAAATCCTCTTTCAAGAAGCTGGCGTCTCCTCCTGTGTAACCAGCCAGCTCCTGCAGGGCAAATACACACACTGATGGGTGAAATGTCCAGCTTCAAGAGCAGCTGAACTTGTGATGCGTCTTCCTTAGTAGCTTTAACCTTTACCTAGAACTTAAAGAGCCCGTGGCATGCTTTCCCCTACTTTCTGACTTATCTACAATGTTAAAACGGTGAACATCATCTTAGATGTGACCTAAAGCTCAAAAAATGAGGTGTACGTATGTTGTAGCAGTTCTGTGCAGAAGAAACTTCATACAAGTGTTGCAAACTCTCGCCTGCATGGCTTTTTTCCCCTCCAGTTACACTAAAAGCCTAATTTTTTTTACTGCACACAGTTTTGTGGATATATTTTACCTCCTGCTGCCTGCATTGTGACCAGATGTTGTGAAGAAAAATACAGAGACTGAGGTTACTCATTGTCTGGGAATGTTCCTGTACAGGGACTCGCTGTTTTACCTGACCAGGCCTAACCTATATGCAGCAGGCCAGTGAAGCCTCCTGGGGCAGTGAATGATCAGCTCATCAATGCTGTACCTGTTTGTTTGTGCCACATGTTATGTGATGTGGGTTGGTGTGAGGATTCTAATGATCAATGATATTACTGTCAGTGCAACACTACCTGTTGGGAATGTATGTGGTTGCCTGTAACATGAGGGATTTGTGGGGGAAGATGCAGCAATCACTGGTTGGATTTACCAACCTTGAAGTTTCCACTACTCGGTGAGACATAACTGCAAGTTAAATAAAAACAAACAAACAAAAAAAAAAAACAACATACACACACACACGTTGCATGTCTGTTAATGTGTTTCTGTAAAGAATTGTTGTAAGGCTGGAGAAGTTACTATGTCTGCATTATGCCTGTTAAAATAAGGGGTTTCTCAATTACCCACTTTGTTTTTAGTGTTACAAAACTCTTTTCATCGGCTCATATACCGGTGTTTAACCATCTATGGTGGAGAAATTCAAATTAATTAATGTTGTTGCTGTTCATCGTACTGTCCACTTTCATTTTTTGGTTCAAACATGTCAGGTAGGAGTTGAGCTATTGTCATTGTTTAAAATTTAGCTTATTTGTCAATGTATTTTGTTTATGCGTTGTCCTGGCTTCCAGACCGGTCTGTCAAAAAGTGTTCCCCTGTAGAGATGCGCTTCCCCTGTTCAAAACCCAGTTTCATGTAGCAGCCCCCTAAGTGGCTGTGGTTAGGATTCAGGTTAGGGGAAACATCTTGATGGGCAAACAGATCTTGAAACAACAGCAGCAGCAGGAGTTGTGCATGTTCATGAACTATCCTCTCGAATTCAGGAGGAGGCTCTCGGGTTTTATTGTTCTGAAATACAGTACTTACAGACTATTTGGAGTTATGATGGGTGCAAAGCTAATGTAGAGGTACCCAGGATTAAACATTAAATGGCTGGAAATGAGTAAAATGAGCATGCCATGGGCACTTAAAAATTTCCTCCAAACAAAAGACTTTTGTTCAAGTATGTAATGACAATTGTTTCTACAGGATTCTTGAAACTAGTGAATTTATTAAATAACATGTCAGTGTTAACATGATGCATCCAATTTGTTAGGCAAAGCAGAAACAGCCAGATAATCAAGTATACCTGTGTATATAGCTTACCTGGTTGATCCGGAGCAAGGCACCTCTGCTGGGGAAAATGGCAGAATTCCTTGAATCAATGGACAGGGTGTGCTATAGACAAGACCGACATGAGAAAATGGCTTTCAAACCCTCAGAAACATTTCCTGTTTTCAGAAGTGGTAAAATGACAAACAACAAGAAGTCAAAAATGTTGGGGTTGCTAGGAGCTGTACCGAGAGGGCAGATTTCAATGAGTGTCCGCTCTCCTCACGGACAGCAAAGGAAGCACTGCGTGCCAGGCAGCCTAGCTCCCTCCACACACCCTCCCACTTCAGTGTGTGGTTGGTCACTCCTAGAGGAAACTGCAGGAAGACAGGAAGGTGGAAAACCAATTCTAGCATAGGTATGGTATATTGCTTGAACTGTACAAGTTACAGTTTGTCTTGTACATGAGTGTGTCAGTCCTGCATGGTACAATAAGTCAAATATAAGAGTTTCTGATTGAGAGTTAAGACACTGGTGTGCCTTTGCAAAAGGCAACACAAACGGTATCACGTGCAGCCTCTTACATTTAGCTCTGCAGACATGCCTCTGTCGGTCTCTTTTAAGGAGCTCCATGGGAACTGACCGGTGACTTTGTACAAGTTGAAAGTGAGGCTGAAAGAGAAGAAACCAACAATGGAAAAAAGAAAAACTTTTCAAAACTCTTACTCGGTGATACAGGTAATGTTGTGACAGGGCTCTATTCATTCTGTGTAATCAGGATGTCAGAATATTTTTTTTGAACACTGACAAATTATTTGGAAGAGTCCCTGCTCTCAACAGGAAGAGGAATGTACTGTAACTGTCAGGTGTGACTACCTATAGGTTGCAAGTTACCAGTCTCTATGACTCTCTATGATTTTAACACCCCAATAAAATGACCTGCCCTGAAGAAATCAATCTAACAGTACATTTAATAAATCATTCAACAACACCAGCATGGTCCTTAAAAGTTCAGCAGAAAGAAATGAAGAGGGCTTGTAAAGATGCAGTAAAAGAACAACATCCTGCTTTTTGTCTATTCAACCCCCAACAGGATTGTGTGTTACTGCAGCACCCTCTGCACTCATGCTTCACTGCTCAGAGGAACTGTTTGTTTTGGATTTGATTCTTTCCTCTCGGCCAACAGCTCTTAAGAAACACTTGGCCATTGGTGACATACTTGCGTTCGAAGTGTCCGGGCTGGGGCTTGAAGAAGGACAGGCCGTAGGACGTCTCCTTGGTGCCGTAGGAGAACTGGAAAGTGAGTTTCTCAGCTCGGCCAAACATGTTGGGCAGCTTCAGTCCCAGCACCTGGGAGAGAGGGCAGCCAGTCACACACACTGGCAGCTGACACTTAAGCACTTTTGTAGTTATTTAGGCTGGCAAGTGGGCCAAAACCTAAACAGTATTAAGTTAACCTCTGCTTCTTGGCTGTGAAAAAAACACCTATAGCCAATCTTTGTCATATTCCAACAAATACCCTGTGCTACTATTGTTTTTCTATTGATAACTATGGGTTTTTGGTTCTTAGGGCCTTTCAGAAATGTCTTCTTAAATTGCAGTTTCCCCGTTCAGCACACCCTGGTTTTAGCTGATGCCTGAACTTGTAACTGTCTGTATACCAGTCGGTAGTTAACCTGACTGGCCAACAGTAATAAAACAGAAACACATCAACAGAACAATTATAAAATTGGTATTTCTCCATTGTCCATCTGTGTATACATGTTGCATGACAAAATTAAAATTATACATTGTAAATATGTAATTACGCCAAATTGAAAAATAAAAATTTTCATTTAGCTCCTACCATAAAACTCCCACAATGTACAACCTAAATTTGAAAATGAAATTACAAAACTTAAAGCTGCATGAACTAACTTCTCCATCTAATTTTCCATCATTAAGGGTAAAGTGAGAGTCAAAATAAACTCAAGCAATATCCTCTTCTCCCTCCGCTCCTCTTCGCCCCTCTCCTGCCCTATCTCTGAGACCATGTCATTGGTCATGACAGCCAGGACAGTTGTGGTAGTCAGGTACAAACTTGGCACATACAACCATGAATTGTATGTGAAACAAGAGAAACCTCATGTTACGATTTGATAGTTGAACAAACTCTTCACTTTTCTAGTTGTGTTGATGATGTAAATTTTAACAACTTCTCACTAAAATGGTACACGGACAAAAAACTGAATAATTGGGCGTGCAAAATTATTCAGCCCCTTTACTTTCAGTGCAGCAAACTCTCTCCAGAAGTTCAGTGAGGATCTCTGAATGATCCAATGTTGACCTAAATGACTAATGATGATAAATAGAATCCACCTGTGTGTAATCAAGTCTCCGTATAAATGCACCTGCACTGTGATAGTCTCAGAGGTCTGTTTAAAGCGCAGAGAGCATCATGAAGAACAAGGAACACACCAGGCAGGTCTGAGATACTGTTGTGGAGAAGTTTAAAGCCGGATTTGGATACAAAAAGATTTCCCAAGCTTTAAACATCCCAAGGAGCACTGTGCAAGCGATAATATTGAAATGGAAGGAGTATCAGACCACTGCAAATCTACCAAGACCTGGCCGTCCCTCTAAACTTTCAGCTCATACAAGGAGAAGACTGATCAGAGATGCAGCCAAGAGGCCCATGATCACTCTGGATGAACTGCAGAGATCTACAGCTGAGGTGGGAGACTCTGTCCATAGGACAACAATCAGTCGTATACTGCACAAATCTGGCCTTTATGGAAGAGTGGCAAGAAGAAAGCCATTTCTTAAAGATATCCATAAAAAGTGTCGTTTAAAGTTTGCCACAAGCCACCTGGGAGACACACCAAACATGTGGAAGAAGGTGCTCTGGTCAGATGAAACCAAAATCGAACTTTTTGGCAACAATGCAAAACGTTATGTTTGGCGTAAAAGCAACACAGCTCATCACCCTGAATACACCATCCCCACTGTCAAACATGGTGGTGGCAGCATCGTGGTTTGGGCCTGCTTTTCTTCAGCAGGGACAGGGAAGATGGTTATAATTGATGGGAAGATGGATGGAGCCAAATACAGGACCATTCTGGAAGGAAACCTGATGGAGTCTGCAAAAGACCTGATACTGGGACGGAGATTTGTCTTCCAACAAGACAATGATCCAAAACATAAGGCAAAATCTACAATGGAATGGTTCACAAATACACATATCCAGGTGTTAGAATGGCCAAGTCAAAGTCCAGACCTGAATCCAGTCGAGAATCTGTGGAAAGAACTGAAAACTGCTGTTCACAAACGCTCTCTATCCAACCTCACTGAGCTCGAGCTGTTTTGCAAGGAGGAATGGGCAAAAATTTCAGTCTCTTGATGTGCAAAACTGATAGAGACATACCCCAAGCGACTTACAGCTGTAATCGGAGCAAAAGGTGGCGCTACAAAGTATTAACTTAAGGGGGCTGAATAATTTTGCACGGCCAATTTTTCAGTTTTTTATTTGTTAAAAAAGTTTGAAATATCCAATAAATTTCATTCCACTTCATGATTGTGTCCCACTTGTTGTTGATTCTTCACAAAAAATTACAGTTTTATATCTTTATGTTTGAAGCCTGAAATGTGGCAAAAGGTCGCAAAGTTCAAAGGGGCCGAATACTTTCGCAAGGCACTGTATGTCAGACATTAACTGGACCAAAGCCAAGCAAAAACGAGCAAACTTATTTACATTCGCTGATTTAGGAAAATGCGCTGGTTTCTGCTAATTAGACAACAAAACACTAATGGTGCAGTCATTTAAAATGACCCCAAATTACAACCTGAATAATTCAATACAAAGGTACAAAACTGAAATGCTTAATTTAGCTCGCTAATGATGCCGACATATACACATTAGCCAGCTACAGTACTTGCACGTCTAGCAGGGAGAAAGCCACATCGGTGTCAATTTTTGGCCTTTGTATGTTTTTATTGCCCTTCATCTCCAACAAGCCAGACCTGTGTTACCCTGGTTTTACCGCGCTCTTTCTGTGCTACAGAAAACAGCCTCTTGGGTCTAATAGGTCTTCTCCCATCCTGAGTTGTACCTGCACAGGGAGCTTCCATGGTCCATCTTTAAAATGGGCCTCAATGGTTTGAAAAATGCATCTCATAACCACGGATCAGTGGGGGCGTAGAATGCAGTGTGGATTTTAACAACGCTGGCCACAGAGGGCAAGAAATAAACACAAGGCCTGAAGATAGCAGAGTTTGGGGTTTGGTACAACAGGGAGAAAACACTTCTAGACAATTTTTAACTTGATTCGCCTGAATTTGTGCTAAATCTTAGTTAGTATTTAAACCTCCCCCTAATTTTAGCTAATTTCTAGTGAAATTGGATTTCAACATCATAGGAAAAAAACAAATAAAATTTAAATTTCATTAAATGAAGTGATTTTAACAATGATGGCCACAAATGTCCAATAATGCTCATACAGGTCCTGACACCTGTCTGACTTACTGCTTGGCACTAGTAAGACTCTGTTTTTAGTCAATATGAAATAGCCAAATCTATGAATCCATGTGTACATGGGTGCAGCTTTTCTTGAAAGTGCTCAGCATGGAAAGGTGTCTTGAAACAGAAAAGCTAAATAACCGGTAGAGCAGAAGGCTGACAAGCTGTGGCATTTGCTCTGTCTGGATCCCTTCCTGATTTTGAGAGACACCAAGTGTTTTACATGGCTTTAGTAATTTAAAAAAAAAAAAAAAAAGTATACAGGCACGATGTGTGATCAAAATCCTGGCATGAATACTCAATAGGGTTTTCTTAGTTCTTGTTTAAACAAATGCACATAATAAAGATGAAATGATTAACAGACTTCATGTAAGGGCTGGTTTCCTCACCATGCTTCCTTCATTGTTGCCAACCATGGTGTTGTAGCTTCCTGTCAGTCTCTTGACCTCCGCCACCTCAAAAGTTACATCCAGACCATTGGGCAGAGCATCTGCACCTGAGGAGAGAGAACCAATCAGGGTGAGGCACCTTCATATCCGTGCCAGCTTAGAGTGCAGCCATTGTCTTGTACATTTCAAAAGCACAAATGCCTGATCAAAATGCAAATAATAATTGCAGGCATAAAACATCCCACAACGTCTAATGAGAAAGAAGCACTGAATCTGTTACCTTCATATGTATCGATAAGAACCTCCACCTCTTTGAAGATTCCCAGGCGGAGCAGCCTCTGTCTGGCGACATGTGCTTTTTGCATCACCTGTAGACAGAAACATCACAGACGTCAACTTCTGGACAAGTCAGCAATCAATATGTTGCTATCAGTAAGCAAAAGACAACTGATAAAAACCTCCGTAAAGCTAAAGCCTATTCTTCACAGTTCAAAAAATATCAGTGCAGTCACAAAAACATACATCAATGAGGTTTTTGGCATGAAAAACATCTGAGATCTCGTAGCCAAGAAGATCCTCTTTAGTTCTTCCCAGACCTTGAATGGTGACATGTTGAACAACCACCTGCAATCACAGATATTTTACTTGGATTAGCTTGACATCATTATCATATATCATTAAAAAAGTGTATTTAGCAGATTCATCTCCTCAGGTGTCTGTTGGTTATGTTCTTCCACACTTCTCCACTGTATGTTAAAGTGTCTAAAATATTGTTCAACCATGCCAGTATTGCTCTCTTGATTATGAAGAAAATATGCTGCTGGGCAAATGCACCAAAACAGTTACAAACAGATTCTACAACATCTAAAATAAATGGATTAAAGGCATCCGTTTAAAGCAAACACTAAAACAGGAATAATGACAGGATAAATATAATTGTAATTGTAAGTTAGTATAGTGTCTGACTGTCCTTCTCAAACCCCCAATCAGTGTTATAAACAAAGAAACAGGGCCTTAAACCCCAAGTGTAAGTGGCAATAATTCACAGCTTACTGTTACAAATCATCTTGATATATATGTAAAATGATATTGTTTTCTAGACCATAATTTCTGACTACTACCTACTACTACTCACGTCTTTGTTTTCCAGGATCTCCTGCTTGGCCTGCTGCTCTGGCTCCAAGGTCTCCACCATGTCATCAGGGTTGACCCCCAAGTCCCGGCCATGCATCGGGAGAGGATCCAAACTCTACACCAGAGATAATACTAATTGAAATTACACTACCTGTACTATTTAATGCAAAGAAACATAACAGCCCATGTTAGGATTCAACTGGTCTGATGTTCTAGGAACCAGTGAAAGTCGGAGCACACGAAGTAAAGTAAATTTAAGTGGTGCTGGGATTTCTGGTTATTGTAGGGTAGCGACAAAGGTAAACACTGTATCTCAGCTCTTATGTATCCACTCAGGTTTCACGCGTCCGTTTGTTTAATTGTTGTTCTTTTTCTGAGGGTGTGCCACAGAACATAGAGAAAAATGCTTCGGCACTCACCGGGCAGGGAGGTCATGGGCAAACATCAAAAGATAATCAAATTATCAGGAAGAAATTACGTGTACCTTAGCATGGACGGTCCCCATGATCGCTATCCGCTCCTGGAAGCCTCTTCACTATGTGTTTGCTACTTCTCGTAAGAGAAATCTGATAAATGATAGCGACTAATTTCTCCACTGCCAATCCCCCTTCAAGGGAGACGCCATGACAGTTGGTGAGGTGTCGTGCTACGTTCATGTACTCCTCCTACAGTAAGTCAACTTCAGCTGAGGGATCTGTGTATTCCGTGTAAAACGCCTACATTTTCCTGTCACGTGTTTGCAAAGAATATCTGAATCTTATAAAAATAACTGTATTGTAGGACCACTGGTATTTATGTCATTGCAGAACCTAAGCAACACAGGAGAAGAAAATCTTAGAATTAAAATGCGTAGCACGGGGGGCAAATATGGCTTCACCACTGTGGGTTGATAGTAATACTAAAAAGTCCAAGCACCATGTCGCTCCCATAAAGTAACTCCTCTAACAACAAACCCTGTGCTACAGCTGCAGCTACATATTTGCTATATTACATGTTACAATGTAGCGAATGAAAGGCTCACAGAGCCGAAAGGGAAGCTGGGAAATAAATGTATTGCTCTTGAAGGGATCACCGTGTATTCTCTCTATGATTGGATAGAAATGACACTGCATTTATAAGGGGGTGGGGCTAAAGTTATCTCTAAACGCTGACGGACCTTCTCCGGTAGATGGTGGTGTATGTCTTTTCTTCGCCGACCTCACTTCGGTCTTTTCACTTCAAGTAGAGCAGAAGATACAGGAACTGTTGGCTCGTTTTCCAGTCAGCGTTATTCCTGTATGGGACATGAGTAATATCATTGAATTTATCATTGACCTTCTTCGCCATTCAAGTGTTTATATCTGAGAAAAATAAAGTTTTGCGTCTGTGACTGTTTCTGGTTTACAGGTGTAGATAGATTAATGGCATAAACAAGGTAAAAGACCAGTAAATGTACAGAAAAATATGCTCCTTATCTGTGGTTGTTATTTAACCCTCTCATGTATGCCAATGGGCAGGACCAAAAAAAAAACAACAACTATATATATATTTATATATGTATAAAGATTTTATACATTTATGACAATCTCACATCTCAAGAACTGAAACATTTAGAGCTTCATAAACACAAATGTTAAGGCAGAAGTGTTGTACAGGTGGTCATAATCTTATTCCTGATTGTATATACATAGATGTGTGTGTGTGTGTGTGTGTGTGTGTGTGTGTGTGTGTGTGCACCTTTGTATTACATACATTTTAGGGACCAAAACCTGTTAACATACACAATTTTAGGGTGGCAGCGTGGTTTAAGGTTAGGTGTTAGGGTTAGGGTTAGGCAAGTAGTGGTTATGATTAAGGTTAGACTACAGGAAATGAATGTAAGTCAATGTAAAGTCCCACCAAGGAATGAAAACACACCGTGTGTGTGTGTGTGTGTGTGTGTACAATGTACTCACATTTTGACAAAAGACCTGAGACATCCTATAGATGAGAGTTCAGTTTGTATTGCGCTCTAAACATTTTCACAAAATAATCCAGCAAATCTGAAGCGGTTGAGTTCCCTGAAGGTCTGGGGCCCTGGGGTAGTTTCCCACTTCCCCCACTTTGAAATCCATTGTTTCATTCTTGACCCTTGAGAATAAGCCATAGGGTGTCAGTAGCTTTTACTTAATCCTTAAAATCTCCTTTAATTTTTAGTGTCTATATCATGATTTAAACAATAGTGCCAATGAATGTTGAAGTAGAAAAATTAACTGAATTATTGTTTTCATATATTCCTTGATATTACAGATACTTTATAAATTATACAGCAAGTGGTTGCCAAATTGTGGTGGGCTTTAGGGGCAATTAGTGGGATACAAGGGGGCAACAATGATGTAGCCTTTTTGTAAGATTAAGAGCAAAACTGTATGAGGGGTGAGATATCTTGACTGGATAATTTATTAGGTAAAGGCTTCTTCAAGACTTCTGAATCAGTGTTTCTGATCTGGAGAAACAGACAAGTTAAAATTAATTTGTTACCTTTATTGTATCAAAATGTATTTATATCTGTATCCTCAAAAGTTTTCTGTAGCCTGTATAGTAGTGATTCCCCAGGATGGAAGCTTATAAGAGGTCCCTTTATTAGGACAATTTTATTTTTATCTGGGCTTTGGGGAACCCTGAGTATACCTCATTGCTCATTGAATGCGTTCTCTCTCGCTCTCTCTCACTCTCTCTCTCCCGGCACAAACAAGCCAATCAGAGGGCTCAGATCGTCTCCTCTCACTCGTCGTCGCTGCCGGTCCACCAAAAGCGGCCCTCCTCCTCCCCTATCTGAGACACACACACCCACATACACACACACACGCACGCGCGCACACACGCACGTACACACACAGTCCAAAGCCCCAGAAAAAGCCCTGCTGAATCCTCACACCGTCTGTCAGCATGGGGAGCGCTTGTTTTTCCCGGGACGTTTGTTTGTTTGTCCTCCTCATAAATACGTGCAGGGTGATGGGGAATGTCGGACTCGCAGGTAAGAGCTCCCCTTTCCTCTCTGTCTTGCTTTGTTGTCAACCATTACCTGCACCTTTTGGTGGCTTTACACTTTTAAATGATGAAAACTGAAGCACTAGGAATATTCTAGTGCTCACATTGAAGGTTTAAAAATGCATAAAACACAATTAGATCACTTTAAACTTACCATTTACTAACACTGAAATACTGCATGCTCTTTTAATACTATTATACTGTACTTAATGGCATTTTCATCCACTGTGATATCAGAACGGCATCGTAGTGATGCAAAAGTTACACTTCATGCCACTGGAAACACATTTGCGCACTGTTTTGGAATTGTCATAAACCAGACATTTTTACGTTGAATCTGGTCATTTCGTCAGTCATTCCTAATTAATTAAACGGTCCTGGTAGAAACTCAAATTTACATCCCAGTCTTCCCACAACCACGCTGGTGATGTGCATATGAATTTCCAGTCGGTTTCCCAGCCTCCCAGACTTCACTGAAACTTCTGTTTCCTGCGCGCAAACGTCAATTTCAATCGGAAACCGCAGCTTGATCTCTGGGTTAAATGCTCATTTGCTCTGAAGGGCTGTCTGTTTTAATATTTCAGCGTGTGGAAATGATGCAAATGATTTACAGAAGGTGGTTTTAGAAGCGGAGCCGCTAGAGAGCATCTTGTCTCCGGGTTTGATGGCCAGTCTGGAGCAGGAGGTGGGACGGGGAGATGGAGGGTGTGTGCGTCTGTGCGGTTCTATGATTGAGAGGAAGTTTTGGCCGGTCCTCACACCTTCAAAGGGTTGTTTGAGGCTCAAGATAGGGTTTTAGGGTTCAGGTTAGAATCATGTTTAGGTTAAGGTTAGGATAAAGGCTGGGGTTACACAGCTATTGATAAGGAAAGGGGCTAGGGAATGCATTATGTCAATAAATGTTCTCACAGCTATTGAAAGTCCAAAGTAAGTGTATGTGTGTGTGTGTGTGTGTGTGTGTGTGTGTGTGTGTGTGTGTGTGCGCCTTGATGAGGGGGTGGTGGCTGGCAGGAGGGCCCTCAGAGTCGCAGAAGGAGGAGGAAGGCAGCAGGGGCCCAGTAGCAGTAGCAGCAGTACATTGTTCAGGCTCCCACCACTTTGAATGGGTGAAGAGTCAATATTGAGACAGTGAGCCACCATGCAGGCAGGACTTTGTTCAGACCATGAAGACTTGGTTTTATACAACACAGTGCAGGAGGAGCAGAGAAGCAGGAAAGAAGATTTTCAGTCAGTATCCCCTTGTGCAGGATTTCACCATCTACCATCGCATGAAAGACTTGAACTTGTTGCTGCTTTTCTCTCCCTTCACTTTCACTCCAATAGAACAATCCCTGATTTTTTAAACAAGACAAATATTTATTATAAATTTTGTTTTATGGTTTATTTATTACCTTTTTACAGCTGAGCTGTGCAGAGGGCCAGACAGAGAGAAGGGGCTGAAGCACAGGCTGCTTTTAGTTGCCTAACATACATGCATTCTATTTATATTCTGATGGAAGCAGAGGGTGAGCAGAGCAGAACAGGATCTATTGAATGACAAGAACATAGCCCTCTGCCCTGATATTCAGACCCAGATGTGACCATCCTTTCAGTCAATAACTTGATCAGTCAGGAAGAGAGTAAGCCCTCTGTTCGCTGCATTCAGTTGCATTAAAATAGAGAGGCAACTTTACACATGTTTGAAAATGGCATTGATACTAAATTTCACCTCATCACTTTGGCCAGTTCTTGTTTAACTTAAATTATTTTGAAGTTGCAGGAGGAAAAATTCATCTAGAGTACTGGTTCCCATTTTATTATGAAAACTTTTCAAAAGCATGATGAGGTGCAGCTAGTAGTTACTGTTAATATGTAGTACATATTCTGTTAATCTTCTTGTGAACTTCAAGATTTATCTTCAATTCAGGTACATAACACCAATTCACAATAACCATCATCTCAGGGCATTTTACATAGTATGGTCTAGACCACAGTATTCTAATCTTGCAGCCTCTTACCTAGCCCAAGATTAGAAAGCCACTGTTTTAGGTGTATTCTTCTTTCACTGCTGTGAATGTGCCCCCCTGACAAGATGAAATCAATAAAATAAATACTGTAAGAAGATAATCACAGCCAACGAAGAAGCTTGCTAGCACTGGTACTACCTCGGCTAACCCACTCAATCATGTATCAGTTCCTCTAAAGTCTCCTGAAGCATTGCAGCGCCACATGCTTGACTTATTTCTCCTTATACAGATATTAGACACAGATCACATATTAAGAGGGTACCCTATCTATAAGTAGTGTTAGCCCTTTTAGGAAAGCCTTGAAAAAGTAGCCAATATATATTCTTGGCTATCTCCATCTTTCACATGACCCTCACCTTGCAGGACATATTGGTCACAGATAATACAGTATATACAGCCCTCATGTTAACTCAGTGTGGAAATGGAGTCAGTGGCACAGGAGGGAACAGTTCAGTTCTTTTTGGACAGAGCCCATACCCCAAATCAGGCCTTGCTGTGCACTCAGTGGGTCAGGTCTGATTGGATGTTGATATTCCATGTTTGTGCAGATACAGACGAGTGCGCAGAGGGTTCAGATGACTGTCACATCGACGCTCTCTGCCAGAACACGCCTAAGTCCTACAACTGCATCTGCAAGCCAGGCTACAAGGGAGATGGCAAGCAGTGTGAGGGTGAGTGATCTTCCTTCTAGTCTCTTCTTCTCTCTCTTCTTTTGTGTCCCCATTATCCTGGTCTCCTTTAGACATTTTACCGTCATCATACATGGTAATAACACATTTACAGAATGGACAAGAGATTGCGGTTTAATCTGTGGCACAGCATTTGAAACATCCTCCAACAGTAGTTTTTTCAGAATTATCCAATGCATCTCTTTGAGTTGTAATGTTAAAAATGTGTGTGTGTGTGTTTGTCTGTATGCAGCCTGATGCAGCCAGGAGGAAGCTGTAGTTGCAGACTTTGCACCTGACCTTTTAATGTGTTTTTCCAGAACAGAACACCAAACACCTTGGCCTTAAGTGGGACATTGCCAACATAGTTTGGTTGAAGCATACTGAAACCTTAAGCCTTTTGAACAAATATTTAAATTAAGTGACACACACTCATTATGTAGTTTATTAGTTACATCAAACTAAAACTAAATCAGTCTAATTCAAGTCCTGCAATAATGTCCAATGATAATGTTCAAACTGTTCTGGACAAGTGTCAATTCCACTGGATGGTTGTTGTGGAATATGCAGTTTGAGCTGCATTATGTTAGTTTCTGTTAGCTTCACTGATGTAAATAGGGTAGAAAAAGTAGTAGAAATACCTACAGTAACAGTATAACACTAATTCCACAGGATCTGAGAATACACCTTCCAGAATGAACATTATCACTTTTATGATTTAGGAGGAGGGTATGTACCTAATAAACCACCAACTGAGTATTGGTATGTGATGCCTAGTTCACAGTGAACTCATGAACAATAAGGGTTGCAAATGTAAAAGACTACAGCTGTTATTTTTATTTGTCAAATGCATATTCAGTAAACATTTATCGAATCAGACTATGTAACAGCAGATGCCCAAAATGAACTCAGATTGGGCCAGTCACCTTGCCTGGGACATGTTTAGTAGTCACAGTGATAGATCAAATCAGATAAAATCAGATGTGAACAGGAACACTGATAAACTTCAGTCTGTCATAAACATGGATAGATCTGGGTACAAGAACTGGGCCTCTGATATAACAGTAGGTTAGACAGCTGTTTCACAATCCCCACACACCCTCAATGCTCCTACCCAATGCCCCCACACCTCACCCCCAACAGATTCTCCTAATTAACGAGGAGGAAGTGGAGGGTGAGAAGAGGGTAGCATGTGCATTTACACCACCACTCGCGTTTGTCTCAAAGCACACCACAGCTGGAGCCTGACGAGTGCACAGTATATGCTTTCTTTCTATGCTGAATCCTAGCTCACACACACACACACAGACACACAATCCCCTAATCACTTCCTATGTACGGTATGCGCCACTGCCCGCCTTTAAACAAATCAGGCTATTGTACTTTTCAAAACCTTGATGACCTTAAAGGAGAATTCTTGTTTACTAAAACATGGGTTCTATTTTTGTATGAATATCAGTTCTATCACCTATAATACCACTGTATTCAGCAAAAGGATTCCTGAGGTCCAGGACCTCTGCAGTATGTAAATCTGATGAACAGGTAGATTATAAATAATCTTAACCAGAGATCAAGTTCTGATAAACTAGAATTAACCTCAAGTGCAAAATTTCAAACTTAATCTCCTAACTTTTTCTCTGTAAACAATTTTGGAGTAGCCAAAACAATCTCACCCCAAGGTCCATTTAACAGTTATTCTGGCGCTTCTGATCATATCAAATGAATCTCATTATTAGTGTTTTAAATGTTCATATTTGTCATTTTTCCAAGCACCTTAAGGACTCCTCATCCATCCATGATTTGAATTGTTTTAAATAATGAGCTGTAATTAGATGGATAGTTATTCTCTACATTTCCCCGAATGCAGTTAGACAGTCCTCAGAGACCCTACCCAGACTTTGTCTGTGCAGCTGTGGGATTTATGTGTATATGGAGGGTACATTATTATGACTGTACAATCAGTCCTCTAACTGGATTGATTGGCTGAATCTTTCCTTTACTTCTGGACACCTTCCCTGTTTGCTCAGCTGCACCTGCTCAGACACACACAGCCCTATCTGCTGTGTGTGGTACCAGCATTATGGTTTTGAATTCCATGGGGTTCATCTGAACTCTACATGTATGCATTTTTAATGTATAGTACAGTACATAAAATAATCTAATGAAATGTGACACTCTTTGCATTTCCAAAACTTTTTCTATTTCACAACACACCTTGATAGACGTGTCAGCTCGAATGAGCTAACTAGACACATGGTATTCCATAGAACATTGCACATTGTAATGGAGTGAACTGTCTTATAACAGGGGTTTAACAGGAGATACAGTATATAGAGCTAAAGTGAAACAAACATTTCTGAGTTCTTCTTCAGAAGTAAAAAAAAAACCTCAAACCTCAGAAACCCTAATGTCATATGTAAATATGAAAGTATTTTCTAAAAGGCTATGCAGGTCAGTTTTCTTTTCTGTTTACTTTATTTTATGTGATTTATTACAGTGGATAGACACACACAGTCTGAACAAGGCATCCTGCATAACAACAGCTCCTCTGTCCTCTAAAGGGCAGAAGCTTCAGGCTTTTCGGGAATATGTTCCTCCTTTCATAAAGCTGCTGTCTGACCAGACCTGTCCTGCCGTCCAATTTTTATTACATCATGCCATCCTTTTGAATCAGTGTGTGTGTGTCTGTGTGTTTCTGTGTATGTCTGAGTGTGGGTAGGAGCTGTTCTCTGCTTCAGTTGAGCTTGAATGTCAAATACATTTTATTACATCATCATTTTACATCCAGAATTTAGGATGTTCAATGTCTGTGCATATGTGTGTGTGTGAGAGAGAGATAAACATGCTACACAAACTCTCCTCCCATATCCTCCCTTGAATGTTGCTGAGAGCTACTGAACTCCCTCCGGTGATGAGGAAACAGCTCATGACAGGGACATCAAATGAAGACAGATTGTAGATTGGAGTTGAACTCTGACCCTGGTGATGAGATAGGGGTGCTGTAATTGGCTGACTGTGCTTTCCATCAAAAGGAATTATAAGCCATTTTGCCTTCCAGCACCATTAGTGGTTCTGCTATTCCTGGAAACACATGGAAGCAGCAGAGGCTGTGTGCATCCCTCAGGTCATCTGTTTCTTTATTATCAGCATGATATCAGCAAAGAATCACTCAACAGTCTAGTAAAACATATGGTGGTTTATGAGACATTGGATAAAGCTGAAAGATTGACAAAGGCTTTCTACGCTACCCTCCTCATGGATTGTGTGTACTGGCTCAGAATCTATCCACAGTGCACCTGTGTTTATTCAGAGACCTTGAGATGAGCCCTTTATACTCCATATTCTTGCATGTTGAGTGCTATTTTGGATCGTGAGGCCTCCTGACCTTCATACAAACAAATCTTTTTTACGTCTCAGATGGGTGACAAATTAAAAGAAAACTAACATAAAATGAACAACACAGACTTTTATCAGTGCTCCTCAGTTAGAGGGAGAGAACATCCATCATTGTTCCAGAACATTTTGTGTTCGAGCAATGTTGAGAAGGTTATTTTTGAAATATAATAGGCTTCCGATTACCAGTTACCCTGTTAAAAATTAAACAAGTAATGTAACTATTTTAATTACATAATTAAAGAATGTAATTTATTACATTTGATTACTTTTGGTTGACTTTTTTAACAAATGTTTTACACTGGTCAAAAAAGTTGAAACATTAAAAAAAAAAATGCACCCAAAAGAAAGGCTTACTTTGGAAGGTTAAATTCTTAAAAAGCTGAATCAGTGGAAGGTATACTGCCAAAGTGGGAAGTAAAAATAAAATTGCTTAAATTTGTAATGGGATAGCAATATTTGTCACAATAAAGGTTATCATAGATTTTAAATCAGTGTCTCAATTTCCATGGCATTTATCTGTATCTTTTAATGGGAAAATCTGGCACATTACCAGCCATTTATTTGAGCTTACAGTATGTTACAATCCAGTTTTTCAGAGCATCAATCACTTCCTGTAACTGCAGGCTTTTATTTTGAAAATCAGCAGCACTGCACTGTCTGGTAACATCATCTAACTAATAAGAGTCTTTTATTTTGAAAATCTGAAACGTTATGGGGCTGTCATGTGACCATAGGTTCCAATCATGGGCTTTTATTTTGAAATTTTGGCATGTAATGGGGCCTTCATGTGAACTTAAGTTACAATCTGGGGCTTTTATTATGGAAAGCTGGCAAGCTTTCAGGACTTTGTGTAAACTGAAGGTATAATCCCGGGCTTTTATTTTGAAAATCTGGCATGTTATTGATGGCCTTCATGTGATCTGAAGTAACAATCTGGTGTTTTTATTTTGAAAATCTGACATGTCAGGCAAGTTATGATCTGGGGCTCTTATAATCAATATGCATCATCCTTCAGAGTCACATTGTAACCTCCTGACACTAACTTTCTACAACAAGCAAATTTCGGGTGACTGACAAAAGACATCCATCCGACTGATGTCACCCACTCTAGCTCTCTCTATTCAAATGAATGCAGAGGTTGGAAAATGTCCAAAATCACCATAAAGTGGAAACTGTGACAATCACTAAATGATATCAAAAAGTTGAATATAAGATAAATAGCGGAAACTTTCCTGACTTGTTTAAAGTCTGAATGGTGTCTGTATCTGAAAGTGTGCTGAACTGGTTAGGGCTGAAAGAATGGGAAGTTGAAGAGGATTTGGAGATTCTCTCCATTTATTTTAATGGGAATTTATTTTTTGGAAAAAAACAAAATATTTTAAAAAGTATGAAGGTTAGAAAAATTCTGAATGTCTTTGAAGAGCTGAACATTTTAATTTTTTAAATGGTTTTTCTAGGTGAAAGAATGCGGGAGGAGTAAGGTGCCAAAAAATAGATGGAAGAAAACAGAAAATATAAAGATTTGGATAACAATAATGTGTATGCTGATTCAGCAGCAATTAAATCTTGAATACACACAAATAACATAGTGGAGTGCTGCAGTTACA